GATCTTTCAGGAAAAGATATTATAAAAACAACAAAACTCACCCCCCAAAAATGTGCTCACCTCTAGTGATGAGTTCACGGTTTGACGACTAGCTTAGCTTCTCTGCATCCAAGTTTGTGACTGATATCTCAGGGTTCTGAAACGTAAGACAATAGGTACGTATGTAAAAATACGTAAGTACCAGTGTGACCAAGAAGCTGGTGTAGACATGCTAAACACTGCAGTTCCTCCAAAAGCAAGTTAATTACTAAGGTTAAAATTGCCATAATGATATTAACAATCAAGTTTACAGCTTAGTACAAAAATAGTTTTGAGGTTCTATAGATAATTTCATCCTATTTATTACAACTGTAATAGAGTTATAATTGAGAGGCTCAAAGTAAGGCATGCGCCATCTTTGAGTAACATGTTTGCTAGCATAAACAGCTCTGGCTAAATACTGTCAGCTAACCTTTAGATTAGTGATATTATTTAACAAATACTATGTGGTGTGACACAACCCAGCCAAACAATTTGTACTTCAGTTTTAGTGAGAGAATACAAGTATTCCAGTATTTTATTGTTGTTTCGTAAGTCATCAAAAGCAGATATCTGTGTCTGTACAATGTACCAATACAGATTATTGATGAAGATTCCTAACATCCGCTGAGGCTTCTAAATGCTGATTCCAAAACTAACGAGTGACATATCAGGTTACGTCCTGCTTTTATACAGTCTATATGTAATGCACTAGTTAGCTCATGCTGGCATTAAAAAATCTATTCTTTTTTTTGCCATATTTGACAGAAACAATGTCCCAACAAAACTTCACTAACCCCATCCAACCAGGCAGAGTTTGAGCAGGTATCTCCTGATATAGATGTTAAAGACCCGAATGAGCAAAAGGTAGATTTGAAACCCCTCCAGAGCACTCCAGGTCAAGGTGGCCAGCAGAGACCAATGTAGAAAGAGACCAAGAACCAGGCAAATTGAGCTGTCCTCATTTTTCCTCAGCCATTCCCAGAAACTGCACAGCAGGAAGCTGAGGTGGAGGCAGAACATTGCCCCTGTAAGTTGCATGTGCAGACCT